CATTTCTCCAATCTGGGTGTTAGAAAATTCCCAGAATTCTCAGTAGTAAACATGGCATTTGGGAAATTATGGGAACTGAAACCCACATCTAAGGAAGGCATTAGATTCCTGGGCTGAGAAAAAAAAATGCCTCTGTGGCCTGAAGATGTTGCCTATTTCAGGTCTTATGAGAAGGCACACTTCAACACTAATCTCTAAAATTGAGATATAAAACCTTTGGGCCTACAAAACTCAATATCAATTCTGCCCTCAATCTTTACTTACAATAATTAATTTAATTGTTTTATATCCAATTCTGCTTTTCACCCATCAGTTTACATTCTCTTTGCCTATTTTCCCAGCAGCAGTCCAATGGAGACAGTTGGAATGACAGGAAATAAATGGCACAAAGTCATCCAGCAAGCTTTCATGCCTGGGGTCAGACACAAAGCCTGGGCCTCTTCTTATTTTAACACCTTTCCTGGCGCTTTTACAATATGCATTTCTCTGTATATATAATTTAAGCTAATTATTAGGTTACACATGCTTATTTAGAAATAGGTGTTACTCATTCAGTGGGGCTTATTCCTATGTACATTGGCATAGGATTGCAGCCTTAATAGCATTTTCAGGACACATGTATAGTATAAAACAGCTTATAGTGAAATTACAGATGGACACATCAAATTTTAAAAAACAACCCGGAAATGTATTCTTTATTCATGAGTAAATGCTAATAACACAAATGCCCTGTTTATAATGTTTTATTGCTCTTACAGAAATGAATAATGTACCCAGAGAGAAGATTCAAAATGTTCTAATTATTAATAAGTCTGCTAACTAAATAGGGGCCAAGAAATGTAGCTCCAGATATCTTATGAGACACTGATTAATAGAAAAGTTTAACATGCTGTATTTCAAATGAAATTATAACATCTGGGACCATGAATTCTTCCAGTGATCAATTATGGGCATAAATACAAAAGAGGAGCTACTGTAATGTCAACCACTAAACATCTAAATATCTATTTAATATCTATTTTCAGTTTTAGACAAATCATCAATTCTCCTTTACACTTCACATTCTTTATTATTATTATATAGGCTGCATTCCAGCACAAAGGCAGCGGTGCATAAGACATGACTGAGCTGTGAAAGTTGAGTGTCTTTATCCAAACTACCATTATGTAGAAAGAGTTCCTCCCAACAGCAGGAAGCAGTATTCTTGCATTGATTGCTACATATGGTGGTTAGCTAAGTAGTTGTCAGAAAAATGTACATAAGAGAAGGTACTAGTTAGTTCTAAAATGATGTATTGCTAGTGTATGATAACAGAACCAGGATGTATAAAGATACTTCTGATTTGTGTGTGAAATGTGAAAAACATGAAGGGTTCTTTTACCATGCACAATGGACTTGTAAAAGAATTAGAAAATTTTGGGTACAAATACATATAATAATGCAAAGAATTTTAAAGATTAATACATAGGAAACCTGATTTTTTTGGTTGGGACTTGAAGAAACTCGTGAAAAATTGTTTTCCTTATATATGGTAATAGCAGAAAGACTACTATATGTACAAAGACAGAAAGATTCTGAAATACTCCGAGCAATGATTGGTAAAGATGACAAAACTTGCAAAAATGCAATACTGACTTGTTTGATTAGGAAGAAGACAAATACATGTATTAATGACTGGAAACCTTTATGGACTTTCTGCTGAAAATGAAAAAAAAATGAACTGATGATTTATAATGATGATTTGATAATTAGAAAGGGAAAATATGGGAGGAAGGGAATTATGATGTAACTATAAATAGGAAGGATAGATGAAAAATTTGTAACTGCTATAAAATAAGCTGGAAGCCAAACCTTGATGTGTTTTTTTCTTTTTTTTTTCTTTCCTCTATTTATGTCTTGTACTTATTCACTTGCTGTGCTTTCTTTATTCTTTTTCTTTTCATTTATATTGTATCTTGATTTTTATTAGTGTATAAAATCTCTTAATAAAAATAAAAAGAGAAGGTGTTGTTTTAATTTGGAATACATTTGCAAATAGAATATATATTTTAAAATGCACTGGGTGTCTTTATTTTT